TATATATATATATATATATATATATATATATATATATAGCATATTTCAATTCGTTCTATATATTGGGAGTACAAATAAGTCTCCGCCGTTTGATAAAAGATGGCCATACCAGTAAGTTATGGTTGAAATTGTCAGATGTAAAACGTCATATAGTAAGGTTGGACATCCGGCAACACCATAACCTTGAAATATTAGCGATTTTGTATCAGCATCACATAATTTTTTTCGTGCGAAAATGTCTAGTTTTGAGCCGAACAAGCGTCATTTGCGGGAACTTTTGATTTACTTCTTTAATTTGAAGAAATCTGCAGCTGAGGCGCATCGATTGCTTGTAGAAGCATATAGTGAGGTTGCTTTAAGTGAGAGAAGTTGTCGTGAGTGGTTTCAAAAGTTTAAGAACTATGAGTTTGACGTCGAAGACAAAGAACGTAGCGGAAGGACGAAAGTATACGAAGACGCGGAATTGGAAGCATTATTAGAGGAAGATTTGTGCCAAACGCAAGAAGAACTTGCACTTGCATTAGGAGTGACACAACAAGTAATTTCACATCGTTTAAAATCGTTGGAATGATTCAAATGACAAGGAAATTGGGTTCCATATGAACTGAAGCCGAGAAATGTTGAACGCCGATTTTGCACATGTGAAATGCTGCTTGCCAGGCATAAACGAAAGGGTTTTTTGCATCGTATAGTTACTGGTTATGAAAAATGGATCCACTACGATAACCCAAAGAAGAGGAAATTATGGGGACCACGTGGCCATGCTTCAACATCGACAGCCAAGCCGAATATTCATGGAAAACAAATCATGTTGTGTATTGGGTGGGATCAGCTTGATGTTGTGTATTATGAGTTGCTCAAACCGAACGAAACCATTACTGGGGCTCTCTACTGAACACAATTGATGAGATTGAGCCGAGCACTCAAAGAAAAACGCGCCCACTACTACTCCAGATACGACAAAATTATTCTCCTGCATGATAATGCTCGTCCACATGTTACAGCGCCGGTCAAAACCTACTTGGAAACACTCAATTGGGAAATTTTACCCTACCCGCCGTATTCACCAGACATTGCTCTCTCTGACTATTACTTGTTTCGATCGATGACGCACGGTCTGTCTGAGCAGCACTTCACATCATATGA